ATATCAAAATCACCATAGACAGAGTAGAACTTATTTTTACAATAAAAATCAACTCGAAGAATTTAATGAAAGATGTAGAGTAGGGTGACCTTCTGCTTTATATGAAAAAAAGAATATGAGAGGCGATAGAAGCTTTGAACAAACCACACACTTAAGGTAAAGTAAGGTAAGAATGTTGAAGAAAGTTTTGGAAACAAATCGTTGGGAATCACAAGCAAATCAGAACGAATGAGGGGAACCAGACCAGACCACCATTCCTGTGGTCTGGTTAAGGCCACCATTCCTGTGGTCCGGTTAAGGCCACCATTCCTGTGGTCTGGTTAAGGCTTTGCGATGATCAATGTCTCTAAAAATTGTAGTTTTGGAATATAAGACAAACACTTAACCGGTAATAAGAACGACGGATAATAATGTTCAATATAGTGCCTGGAAAATGGAACCTAAAAATTGTTTATGGAATATGAAACAGGAATGTTGTTCTTGAAATATCAAACAGCAACATTGTTCCCGGATTAAAGGATAAGAACATGGAATAAAGAATATCGAACATGGAATATGATACTGAAAGACAGAGTGCACTCAAAAACAGATCAGAAATATAACGTTGGAACAAAGAAACTGGAACAGAATGAGAAACAATAAATCTTTAATAATGAACTGTCACAATTTCGGAACGTTGAATAAAATGTTCGCGACATTAGACTGGAACAATGATTCCAGTATTATTGGAATTTATACCTCTCATGGGCATTACATAACAGGGTGAGTAATAACGACGATATTAATCTTGAACACGAGAATGAAGCATTAGATCTGGAATGTGTAAAAATGGAACTTGATTCATGGAACATACGAAGGCATATAGCACTTGGAAGGGGTCAGGATAAGGATCTGGGATGGGGCGAGGGGAAGGAATGGTGCTCCAAGCACTTTGGGACGGTCGGGGATTGAACGCCGGTCTGCATGAATCGAGACCGTTGCTCTACCCTCCAGCCTAAGTGGTGGGATACGAGTGGAGCCGAAGATCAAGGAAATCTATTCTAGCAGAAGGTATTAAACGATAGCGAAACATGTATGGAACAATTTAATTTTAACTCAAACCCTAGGACACGAAAGTTCACCTGGAAATTCGAGATTAGATATAATAGATGTATATACTAGATATAACATGGAAACATAGAAAACGGAATTGCGCGAAGTTAGTTATATATTCATAGTTCAACCCATCCTCTTAATATAAGAGGACTTAAAACATATATTAGGTCGAATGTTTATTAATGCACTGTTGGAGCCCTGAAAAATCATATTTTTTTGGTTACTGAATAAGCCCAAATGGCCTTTTAGAAAATGGAAAAGTAACTGAAGGATCTAACCAAACCTAACCTAACTTAACCTAACCTATTTTAACCTAACCTAACCCAACCTAACTTAACCTAACCTAACCTAACTTAACCTAACATCACCTAACCTAACCTAACCTGTCATAGCAATCCTGGACCTAACATAGGCTATTTTAAGCTTAATATAGTATCAGCTTGTTTTTTGTCCCATAATTTTTCCCCCGTGCCGTTTTCAAAATTAATAATACAAAATGTGAACAATATAGGCTACAAACAGTTCATTTTTGTAAGTTCGAGCAAATAGGTGTTATAAGTACGTTCTCTTATTTAAAAACGCTGTTCTGTGTTAATTAATGGTGGCGGGGACAGGAAGCCTGTACATGACGTGATATCGATGCCTTTCCCTAAGACGAGCTACTAACGACCTACTGCTTCCCTAGGTCGAACTACTAACGAACTATTACTTCCCAAGGTCGAACTACTATCGAACTACTGCTTCCTTAGGTCGAACTACTAACGAACTACTGCTTCCTTAGATCGAGCTACTAACGAACTACTGCTTCCTTAGGTCGAACTATTAACAAACTACTGCTTCCTAAGGTCAAACTACTAATGAACTATTACTTCCTTAGCTCGAACTACTAACGAACTACTACTTCCTAAGGTCAAACTACTAACGAACTAATACTTCCCTGGGTCGAGCTACTAACCCTCACTAGGAAGGTACAGTAACTTCCAGGAATCTATTTACTGCTAGCCGAAAAAATGCATCAGGCGAAAGGAAACATCCCTCCAGCGTTTCTCTTTCCCACTAGGGGAATCGAACTCGGAATCTTCGATTGGTAGTCGAGAACGTAAACCAATATGCAACATGGATCTAATTGGCGATTGGAATGTGGAATCAACAGTCTGTTACTCGGCAACCCGTCCTCCTGTTTAGAGAGATAACTAACAGGGGAAAGCGCCAAGCCATTACGACTATATAGCACTTGCAAGGGGTCAGGATAAGGATTTGGGATGGGACGGGGGGAAGGAATGGTGCACAACCACTTGGACGGTCGGGGATTGAACGCCGACCTGCATGAAGCGTGACGGTCGCTCTACCGTCCAGCCCAAGTGGTTTGAGAGTAGTTTCTGTAACTATGTGCACCATAGTACAAATAATGACGTACTAAGGAGTTAGATAGTAAAAAATGGTACTATTCACTTTATACCGGAAAAAATGAAGGTAAATAAAAATTAATTTAAATATTCCTAGGCCTAATATAGCACACATATGTGCTATATTAGGCCTCAGTTAGGTTAGTTTAGGTTAGGTTAATTTAGTTTGCCTTTGCAACATAAATAAAAAATGCCCGTTTCTGCCCGAAACGCTGCACGTACTAGTGGCTTTACAAGATTGTAAATACTATCCTATGTATCCTCACAATCCCAATGTACCTTCTTGTATATATATATATATATAAATAAATAAATAAATAAATAAAATCTTTTCCAGTGTGTCCAAATTCAATAGTACTGATTTGTACTTACTAATTGCGTCGTATGTGGGTATATGTACTATGGTCCTTATCGTTACTGTACTACAAAAAAACAGGAGGACAGGCTGTATTGGGATAGTTCTTCTGTACCCAACAAGGAATCCATCCACAGAAAAATCAGCTGAACACAAAAAAGGTAGAACTTGAACTAAACGTCAAAAAGCCATTTCCTCTGACAAACTAACGCAATTGTATGCAAAAAAGTGGATTGAAACAGAAAGAACCTGAATGTATGTGATCGGTTAAAACTGCTTTTTTTATTTGTATTTTTTTGGTATTAAAAAAACACTCAATAAATAGGCTCTGAAAGGGGTTAAAAGTGTTTATATGCGTTTTTTCTGAAAATGGGAAAGAGAATGGGACAGTGGATGCCAGGGTGAATTATCCTCCATGTTAATGGCGGGAGCGGGACAACATCACCGAGAATTATATATTCTTGATACATATACGAGAGGTGGAAATGTGCCGCATATGGGCGCGGGGCATGCGTTCTGATGGGTGCGGGGCATGCGTTCTGTTGGGTCGCGGGGCATGCGTTCTGTTGGGTCGCTGGGCATGCGTTCTGTTAGGTCGCTGGGCATGCGTTTTGTTGGGTCGCGGGGCATGCGTTGAGTCACTGGGCATGCGTTCTGTTGGGTCGATGGGCATGCGTTCTGTTGGGTCGCGGGGCATGCGTTCTGTTGAGTCACGGGGCATGCGTTCTGTTGAGTCGCTGGGCATGCGTTCTGTTGGGTCGCGGGGCATGCGTTCTGTTGGGTCGCGGGGCATGCGTTCTGTTGGGTCGCGGGGCATGCGTTCTGTTTGGTCGCTGGGCATGCGTTCTGTTGGGTCGCTGGGCATGCGTTCTGTTGGGTCGCTGGGCATGCGTTCTGTTGGGTCGCTACACATGCGTTCTGTTGGGTCACTGGGCATGCGTGCCAAGGTCTTTCAATGCCATCACCTGACTCATCTCGCAGCATGCAACCCACAACAGTTGCCTGACTCTCAGGTACATATATATTTCAAGCGGAGCAGAGGTTTCCCTCGCGGGAATCGAACCCGGGACCATGCGGTTCCGAGACGACTATCTTTTTCCAACGAGTATTTTAAGCGTGTATCATACGTGTACGTAACAGATGGGATCGTGTTTGAATGACAAGGAGGAATCCCCGGTTCGAATTTCGCATGGTGGGGGCAGAAACGGTTTGGCACGTTTTTAATCACCTAATGCCGCTGTTCACCTGGCAGTAAATAGGTACCAGTGAATTATTCAACTGTTGTGGGGGGTGATGCTTACTGGGGGAGGGGTCAGTATTGTTTTACCTTTGGGGGAGGGGAGGGGGAGGGAACTTGACATCAGTCTAATGTATATACATACACGGGCTGCCTGTCCCTAGACAAAAAATTGAATTAATATAATCGTTTTCGTTTTCATGTCAGCAATTTTAAGGGGTAACCCCATTACCCTGGTGCTAGGTCTCTCCCAATCGGTGATACCAGTTATCGCCTGAGTATGGAAGCTCTTGTGTGTATTTGTGCCGAGTGGAGCCAGGATTCAGGCTGCCAGTCAATCCCAGATGCTGCCACGATTGCTCAGTTTTTCTTTGCCACACTCTCCCTGTTACTCTTGTAATTTGCTTTCTACCCATTCATTCTCTCTCTCTCTCTCTTTGTCTCTCTCTCTCTCTCTTTGTCTCTCTCTCTCTCTCTTTGTCTCTCTCTCTTTCTCCCTCTCTCTCTCTGCCTCTCTCTCCCCCTCTCTATGAACGCCGCCGTCAGCAAGGCTAGCAATATCTCCGACAATCCTCGCTAAATCAGGTTTGAGTCGCGTCAAGCAACTAACATATTTACGAGTTTCGCTGAGGTTGGCTGAAGCAGATTTTAAAGGATAAATTGAAATCATGAGAGCTTCTACTTTCTGAGGATATAACAGTGAAGTCATCTTTGTATGTGTGTGTTTGTCTGTTTCCAGTGTGTGTTTGTGTATGTACTCACCTTGTTGTGCTTGTGTGTAGGGGGGGGGGTTGAGCTTCGGCTCTTTGGTCCCGCCTCTCAACCGTTAATCTACAGTGTGTGTGTATGTGTTTCAGTCGTGGTTCGCATAGTAATTGGTAAGAGAATGTTCCGCTTGTTTGGGTGAATGAAGGAGCTGGATTCCATCTCTTGGGCCCTGCCTCCCGTCCCTCAAGAGGCTGTGGCACAAAATCTCGACTCCTTTAGTGTGCGTATAATTTGCATCACCAGTCATCACAAGTCATCACAAGTCATCACCAGTCATCACAAGTCATCACAGGTCTTCACAAGTCATCACCAGTCATCACAAGTCATCACAAGTCATCACCAGTCATCACCAGTCATCACAAGTCATCACCAGTCATCACAAGTCATCACCAGTCATCAGAAGTCATCACAAGTCATCACCAGTCATCACAAGTCATCACAAGTCATCACCAGTCATCAGAAGTCATCACAAGTCATCACCAGTCATCACAGGTCATCACCAGTCATCACCAGTCATCACCAGTCATCACAAGTCATCACCAGTCATCACCAGTCATCACAGGTCATCACCAGTCATCACAAGTCATCACCGGTCATCACCAGTCATCAGAAGTCATCAGAAGTCATCACCAATCATCACAAGTCATCACCAGTCATCACCAGTCATCACAAGTCATCACAAGTCATCACCAGTCATCACCAGTCATCACCAGTCATCACAACTCATACCTGGCCCCTGGCCAAGATTGTGGGGGTAGAACTAACATAAACGGCTCCAGGAATGTTCCAGATATACCCCCCACGAGTAGTTCACGTATACTTCAGATATACTTAGGTATACTGAATGTATACTCCAGATATACTCCAGGTATACTCAATGCATACTCCAGGTATATGCACTATGAATCAACTTAAGAGTTAACACACGCAGCCTGAGGCACCGCGCAGAAATATCCATAAACAAAAAAAACTAACACAGAAATATTAGGATCACCCTAATCAATAATTAATCTAATTAAATAATCCGAAGCTTATCTAATAAGCTTCTGATAATAAGTTTTTTTTGGTTCAACTACAGCTTATTATCGATATCATTGATCAACACCCTTACTAAGTTTGTCTTGAATTGTCATCCCTTACTGTCGTTCTAAGGTCGTTCAGTCGTTCTAAAATAAAAAAAGTGTTGCAATCTTTACCAAGTTCACTTCACTTCTCCATCACCCTGAGACTGGCGCTCTGACTAGCACTCTTGTCATGCACGGAGACATAACAGTAACATGATAACGTCACACACAGCAAAGCGTGTGTCAGGGAACACCCCAGCACATAGGTTCGAATCCACATCACGGCTTCTGTGGTTACTTGTAATTCATTCCTGTGGTTAGTCAAACTAAAATTCTGTCGTGAAAAGAGAGTAAATATCATTACTGTATTAAAACTAACAATAAATCACATTGACTGGTGAAATAGAAGAACTATTTGCCTCATCACATATATATATATATATATATATATATATATATATATATACATATATGTCCCATGTTAACATAGCAATTTCAATGTCTATATCTATGAAATAGAAGGTCTGTCTGTTTGATCATAGTTGGAGCCCATGCACATAGGGTTAGTCTCACCCAACGTTGCAGAATGACACACGAGTGGTCGGGGACTGTAATAGGCAATTCGAAAACGGCGCCCCCCTCCCCCAGGCTACTACTGCGGTTGCTAGAGACTCTCATCTCAGGAATGGTGTTGAGAGAGAGAGAGAGAGAGAGAGAGAGAGAGAGAGAGAGAGAGAGAGAGAGAGAGAGAGAGAGAGAGAGAGAGAGAGAGAGAGAGAGAGAGAGAGAGAGAGAGAGAGAGAGATGATCTAATCCAAGTCGTCCATTCCATATTCCATTTAGTCATTTATAAGTAGAATAAATTTGCTATTAACGTTGAATAGAATAAATCCAGTTATGTTATGAACATTCAGCTTATAAAATGTAAATATTTTCCCATTTCGTCAATGTAAACATAAATTGATATGCTTTATTTGTAAACAATAATATCTCAATTTAACGATGCAAATAAAAAGTCCAAATAAAGTCTACATTTCACCTCTCCTTTACTGCCTTTGGAGGGGAAGCTTGGCCTTTTCCCCCTCGACCGAAGACTTACCACAATCCCTAGCTCAACCTGGAGGGGAGAGCAGGGTCCTCCTCTCAACTCGCTCCTCCATTTTTCCCTTTCAACTCACTTTCACTCCACTTTCCCCTTCAATTGGCCTTCATTGTATCTGTTTTGTCTCATTAAACTAATCCAGCTCCATGAGCAGTAGCTTCACTACCAGCACCACCACCACCACCACCACCACCACTACTACCACCAGCATCACCATCACCACCAGCATCACCACCAACGCTAACACCACCAGCATCATCACCCCCACCCCAACCTGCATCACAACTACCACCACCACCACCACTACCAGCACCACCACAACCATCACCACTACCACCACTACCAGCACCACCACAACCAACACCATCACCACCACCACCACCACCACCACCACCACCACAGTGGGAGGAAAACTCTACAACATATAATCTGATATAGTAATAAAGTAAATAATTAATTTAAATAAATATTAGAGAAATGGACAGTAAAAACTTTTAAATGTTACATGGATTATTTCCCCTACACACATTTTGGGTGTAAAACCAATAATGCTGGAATTACCTATTGTATATGAATGTTGAGGTGATTTGAATAATAAAGTTAATTAACTAATCAAGTTATAGGGTTAGTAATCTAACTACAATTTTAAAACTAGAAACAAAATCTTAGCTTTCAAGCAGTTCATGTGGAATGCGTCAGACAGCCTTCCGTAACCAATCTAACACTGATTAGGGGAAATACACTTATTGGTGCTTTTTGATGATTTCGCGTCTTAACGATTGGACACCCTATAACACGGGATTATGGCCATAAAACGTGAAAAAGGATTACTCATCCAACCAGACGCGGTGTCCTCAATAACAGATGAAGCTGACAGCCAAGTCTGGGATCCGATAATGCTCGGATGATCCGTATAATAGACGATGATAATAGCGAGCTCCGGGACGCCGATCAAAGATGGCTTCTCCTCAGCCAAGTCTCTAGGCGAGTGACCAGTAACGCGCGCGCCACCTGGATCCCTCACTGTGTACGCGCTCGGCATATATGTCACGATATTTTAATCTGGTTTACTATCTCATTAAATCACTGCGCACTCCAGGTATCAACAGACGGTTTTCCGCCGAGTATATTATTGAACTGAAGTGTCTTTAGATAAACAACGGATATATATATATATATATATATATATATATATATATATATATATATATATATATATATATATATATATATATATATATATATATATATATATATACCCCCTATTAGACTATTTTACAGGAACTTCTTTTCCACAGCTCATAAAACGGAGGAAAGGGTCCTGAAAGATATTGTTAATAGAAACGTTATCCCCACAGACAAAAATCAGAAGATACAATTGACGATCTACTATAAAACCAAGAAAACGGCCAATCTACTCATGAGAACCTCTCCAGACACAAAGCAGAACGCTTTAAAAGAGACATATGTCGTCTATGCCTTCAAATGCCCACTTGGGGACTGTAAGCCTCAAAGAATTCAGTATATAGGACAACAAGACAACAACATCTCTTTCCAGGCGATTAACGATGCATAAGCAACAGGGCTCCATTAAGGAACATATAATCTCTTCCCACAACCAGACCATCACCAGAGAAGTCTTAACAAAAAACACGGAAATCATCGATAGATACAGCGATAGCAGGCTGCTTGATATCTGCGAGGCACTTTACATTAAGAAGTCGACACCAGCAATCAACAGCCAATTAATGCACAACTATATTCTACCCACTTCAAGACTCCGCACCAATATAGAAGCATCAAGAAATATGGGCCAATAGGCCCTTTGCAGTTACTTCCATTCTTCCCTTTAACTTACAAAATATTATACCCATTGTTTCGTGTTCTGTCTTGTGTTGAAAGTTTGTTTTCACCTCATCCAAAACTGTTGTAACATATCACCTCACCCAAATGCAGGTATAAAATCGAAGCTGTTTGAACTCTGTTCAGTTATAGTTGTGTGTGTGTGTAAACTAAAGTCTTTGAAAATGTAATAAGTTTTACGAAACGCGTTCAAGTGTCGCGTCAGACTAGAAATAAAAATGAATTTTGGAGAACTGATTTTTCAGTTACCATCAACAGTGAAAAGAAATATAAGAAACATAGAGAAAATTCGTGTTAGAATTATTAATCTTACTTTTTCGGTCATATTTAATAATATATATATATATATATATATATATATATATATATATATATATATATATATATATATATATATATATATATATATATATATAACCTAGAAGGGGTACCACCTCTGGTGCAAGTGTAGGGACCCATAGCCTCGGAGAAGAAAATAAAGAGTACTCAGAGAAGACCTTGTGGATCCTCACTGAACACTTTGATATTTTCTTCTCCTACCACCCCTATTCTTTTGTTATGTGTGTATATTTATATAACTTTATTGAAAATGTCATTACACAAAAAAAGTTACAATATTGATTACATGCAGGGTACAAGGCTACTTGTCACAAGTTGTACAGCTCTTCCAGCTCCTCAGATGGTGGGCAGGAACCATGGATGCAGTGAGCATTTCCTCTCTGGATTGCCACACTAAGGCGATGAAAAAGAAAACTGGCAGCTCTAGGGTTTCTAGTTGTTTCGATTAGCTTAGACCCCAACTCCTTCAAAAAGCTAGCAGCACTTTTACCCCAGGCACCAAGTGTCTCTGAGGCAATGGGGACAAAATTGTAGTGGTGCTCAAGGTCTCTGTATTTACGTGACTTGGCCGCTTCCCGGTGATTGGCAGCTCCTCCTGCTTGTGTAGCACTGAAGTCAACATAGGTATTGGCTAAAGTTGAAACGCATGTGTAGTCCCACACCAACTGTCTACCATTCTTCCAGGGGTTCACCGTGATTCCGTCTGGGCGACCGACAGGCTCATCAGAGTTGCGGGACATTAGGTAACGGGGCTCTCTCTCTGCTGGACAACCGGCTGTGGTAAGGCTTCTCTTAATATTGTCATTGACCTCGCCGTGTCTTGCATGCCATCCTCCTGTCCTTTGGCAGAGAAGGCCATGCCGTCCGTATCTGTCGGCCTCTGCCTCGCCGCTAATACACCTGTATTCGGTGTGGATTGGGGCAGCGAGGCGGAGAGCCACGGCAATTCGGAGGGCCTGCGGTGTGAGACGGGTGCCGGTTGCTGACATTGGGGTTGCTAATAGGAAATCACCTGCATGGGGAGCTGCTACAGCTCTAAGTCGGGCAGTGTCATGTGGTGTTGTTGCAGCTTCTAGCAAAGTCGCAGCTTCTTGGTCGGCTATGGGGCGATCCCAGCTGGATTGCTTATGGGCTTCAGAAGGCGGTGGTTGGGGTGCTGGTCCTGCGAGAGAGACCCATTTGGTTGTGCAGTCTGTGAAGCTGGGATCATGTACCCCAGCCTGTTGAACTAGGTGCTCAGGTAGGATTTCCTTCACCAAGTTGTCAGACCCCACTGAAGAGGACAGGAACGCTGGTACAGCAATTTGTGTTGCTGTGCGCACGCCAAGGCCCCCGAGTCTGACAGGAAGGGAGGCCTGTTTCCACTGTAAGTCGCTGAGGGAAAGATTGAGGGCTTTTTCT